CATGTGGCGCGGCTGGGCCGGCGCTACATCTTCGGCCTTGGAACTGGAGAGGGCTGGGCCGGCTGTGGAAGCTAAGGAACGGGCGGGGCAGGCCCATTAATGGAGAAAGGGATCCGGCCAGCCTAGTGGGAATGTTGGGCTTGGAGAGAGAAATGGCCCGATTGTAATAGTAACTTTTGTGTATTTCATTAGATTTATGGGGAATTGTAGCTACACTATTTAATTGGACAATCAATTTCAATTTGGTTACTCTGTTGCTCAAGGATTCACTAGAATGGTAACCACCATCTCAATCGGGCGGCAACCCTCATCTCAATCGAGCATGGCGTCCGTCACAGCCTAGAAGTCACGGATGTGAAAAGTTATCTCTATTGGGCAAACGGCCGTCACGGATAAAGCTATCTCAATCGGGCCTTAATTAAAGTCCGTCACCGATAGCTTTGACTCAGACGACCAGTCAAACTATAGCCTGTCACGGATGACCTATCTCAATCGAGCCACAACCAGCGCCCGTCACAGATGACCCTTATCGGCCTTTGCTAGCCATGCCATGCCATCCCAGGCGGGTCTTTTTTGTCCTCACTCGTGTGCACCAGGGAAGAACTTCTCGGTCGGTCACCCATCCCGAAATTGCTCTAGGCCAAGCACGCTTAACATCAAAGTTTGGTATGAGTATTCTATTAATCCTTTTAAGCCCTAGGCCAAGATGTCACACCCTAACATTTCCCATTCATATGCATTCATTCACATACACAACCATCAATATATTTAACACAACCACATTCACATATCCATTTTGATCACATATTTCATATCCATTCACATATTTCTCATATTTCTCTAGCAAAACCGAGTTAATTGGATCATGATGAGGAGGCAATCAGACTTCTAGGAAAAAAGAATTTCGAATTGAATTTTATAATACTAAATAAACTCATATGAAAAAGCTGTCAAAAATAAAGTTGTAGAACTCATTGAGATCTGTCAAAAATAAAGCCCGTCATATATGAGAACTTTAAATTTAATTTTAGGCTGACTTTTGTGTGTCAAATGCAAAAATCATAAACAACAAAATTGTATAACTCATTGAGATCTACAACTATTGTATCGGTCCTTTGTACAATTAAGTTCATTTGAACAATTCAAATTTTGAATTTTCAAAATTTGACAACTTCGAACAAAAATTGGGATTAATAAATGATTTCAAATGGAAAAGTCACCAAAACCAAGGATGTAGAACTCATCGAGGTGCAAAATTTTTATTTTGGTCATTTCTCCATTTGACTCTATTTAAACAATTTGAAATTTGAAATTCAAAGTTTGAGAAATTCAAATAGAATTTTAGATTAGTGAATGACTTCAACTGAAAAAGTCATCAACAACAAAGTTGTATAACTCATCAAGATCTACAACTTTTAGTTTGACCATTTTTCTATATAACATTTTTTGAATCGTTTGAATTTGAATTTGAAAATATAATAACTTCAAACAACATTTTCAAATACTAAATGATTTCAACTAAAAAAGTTATCAACAACAAAGTTGAATAACTCATTGGTCATTTCTTCATCCGACAAAGTGATAGTAACATTGTTTACAAAATTGACATATCTTATCTGGTTTTATAAACTATAACACATATATGTAAAATTTGTGAACAACGTTACTAACATTTTGTCGGATGAAGAAATAACAAAAATAAAAGTTTTAGATCTTGACGAGTTATATAATTTTGTTGTTGATGGCCTTTTCAATTGAAATCATTTAGTATTTGAAAATGTTGTTTGAAGTTGTTATATTTTCAAATTCAAATTCAAATTGTTCAAAAAATATTATACAGAAAAAATGACCAAACTAAAAGTTGTAAATCTTGATAAGTTATACAACTTTGTTGGTGACAATTTTTCCATTTGAAATCATTTACTACCCGTAAAATTATTTTGACTCATAAAATGAATTATTATACTGCAGTTAATTATTTTGCTATAGTTCAACTTACAAATATAAACATTTCATATGAAAAATGGAAAAATACTCATTAGTGACGGCTTTAGTTAATGCCCGATAGAGATTGAGTCATCTCGATCGGGCATTAGTATATAGCCCGTCACTGATGAGTCATCTGTGATGGGCCTAGCTGTTATCTCAAACGGGCCTCAAGTTGGTGCACGTCACGGATGATGGTCATCGTGACGGGTCCCAACTTGAGGCCCGTTTGAGATATGGAATGTTATCTTAATCAGGCCTAAAGTTGTTGCCCGTCACAGCTGATGGTCATCTGTGACGGGCCGCAACTTCAGGCCCGTTTGAGATATGGAATGTTATCTCAATCAGGCCTAAACTACAGCCCGTCACTGATAGGTGTCATCCGTGACGGGCTTAAGTTTTACGCCCATCTAATATGTCTGTGCGACCATATCTCAATCAGGCCCGATTGAGATGACTTCCTTGTTACTGCCCATTATTTCTAGGCATGCTAAAGGCCGTCACAGATAGAAGGATGTGTACTCGTGATTAATTTTAGAGTTCCCAGATATTGGTTGCATTGATATACTATATTTGAACGGAGATTTAGGATTGGCATCTGATATATGAATCCATCGGAATTATTAGGACTTTGCGGAAATGACCTAGTTTAGGGAATTTCGAATAAAGTTGGTACAGGAGAAAATGGATCCGAGGGAATGAATTCGAATAAGCGAAATTGGATTCTAGATTCAACTTTGGCATTCAAAAGATTCATGTGTAGAACATAATATTGTACCAATTAGGGTGAGTTTTGGGACTTTGTTTAACTTAAACAAAATTGCGATTAATGGAATAGATGGGGAATGGAGAGGGTAAAGAAATGTGTAAGTTTGGTTTCGGGAAAGGTTTAGCTTACGCGGAGGACTGAACTGCAAAATTTATTAGCCTTAATTTCGGAGAAGAGTGTTAGGGTAGGATTTTGAGTTCACAAGATTTGATTTAATCGAGATCTGTGGCACGAAAACCCAAACACTCAACTAAGAGTAGGTACAATAACAGACTAGCTATTAGCCAGCTACAAAGATATTTTAATGAGATAAAAAATGAGAGAGAAGAGCAGCGAGTGTGTGTATGACATGTGGGACCATATATTAATAGTATAGTAAGCAACTATTGTATGAATTGACTATTGGATTGGCTATAGATAAATTGAAGCTAGTAGTAGGCTATACTGCTCTAACAAAATGGTTTATTAGGCTGGCTGGGCTAGACCATTCATGGCACAAATCAGAGTTTGATTTAAATTGGCAAATTAAGCCCTAAAATAGAAGAGGTCAATAGAAAATATTTATTAGCTTATTTTATTGAGTAAATTTCATAAAACTACATGTACTTTGCACGATCTATCACAAAACTACATATTTAAGAACTTATTTCACAAAACTACAGATTCAATATAATCGTTTATCACAAAACTACAGGTATTTTGTATAATATATCACAAAACTATAAATTTAAGAACTTGTTTCACAAAACTACAGATTTAATATCTTCATTATCACAAAACTACAGGTTTAGTGTCTTCATTATCACAAAACTATAGGTTTTAGCATTGTTAAAACCTGTAGTTTTGTAATAGATTGTATAAAGTACCTATAATTTTGTGATAAACGGACATATTAGATCTGTAGTTTTGTGAAACAAGCTTTTAAATCTGTAGTTTTATGATAAATTGTGTAAAATACCTATAGTTTTGTGAAATTTTACTTTATTTTATTTGTAAAATCAAAACTTAAGGAATTAATCCTAAAAAGGATTTCCAGAATATTTTCTTAACTGCTACTATTTTATAAACATGGTTCTTTAATAAATATTATTCTAAATTCATAGTTGAATTCAGAACATAGGTTAATTTCCTTATTAAATTTTTATTTTGGCATAGGCACAAGAAGAAATGAAAAAGAATCCGACAAACAACAATATGAGGGAATTTTGAAAAATATTTTGGATTATTCTAATTTTTTCCATGTATTTTAGAGTCGAAATTTTCAAGGTGATAATACAACAGTCAACCTTCTAAAGAGCAGAACGTACGAAACGTACGGTAGCATCTGCCAACTTAGGAGTAAATTGGGATGTGCAACAACCAAGAGATTATAAATTGGTTTTTGTTGTTTTGCCTAGCCTAGTTAGGACAGAAGCCCAGGATGGTATCCAATGAAAGTCCAAATAAGTCCATTAGGGAGGTCGCCCAAGTTTTGAGTCAACGAATATGCACAATTCACATAGTTGTACGCGCGCAGCATGCATTTTAATTACTGTCCACAATTCATACATGTATAGTGGATACGTCTCCTCGGCAGACACTCACTGTATAGTAGGGTAGTTGTGTGTACAGTGATATAGTCATATCTGTGCGTCTTTTCATGCCGTTCGTTCACAGGTCAGGGTCGGGTAGGCGACATCGAGTGTGACGCCACACAGGCCGGGGCCACCGACGTCGCGGAGAATCCGGATGTAGCCGCGCTCGCCCCATGACTGGCCCCATGAGTTCATGATGGTCCAGTACTTGGCACCGGAAGCCGCGTCGGTGCCGTACCGACGACGGTGACGGCGTGCGCCAGGCACGTGCCGCACGGGCCCGTGTAAACGCCACCCTTGTAGAACTGCATCCCGCTACCGACCTCGATGGCCACAGCCACGGGCTGTCGAGCGACGGCAGCCTGCAACGCCGCCTCGTTCCGCGGCGTCACCTTCCCGAAGCCGGTGATCTTGGCGGCATGGTGCGCGGACTTGGCGCGGTTGCGGGGGCCCCGCCGCGCCGTGTACGGGTAGTCCGCCTCCGTGGTGAGGCCACCGTTCTCGACAACCCATTTGTACGCCCGCCCGTACGACCCTAAGTTGCAGCCACCGTCATAGCTGTCGCAGTCCACCAGCTGCTGCTCCGATAGAGAGACCAGCCTCCTCGTCTTGATCATGTTCAGGCTCTCGATGGTCGCCGCTGTCACGAACGCCCAGCAGCTACCTCACTACACCATGACACTAGATTACCAACAGACATCTGTCGGTAAAAATAAACAATTATTGATAGACTATTTATTGGTAAAGGCTTTTGGCAAATTATATGTCGGCAATACTATGTAATAAGACATGTTATATGTCAGCAATTCCAAATATTTATTGGGTCAAAATAACTGTCAGCAATATTTAGAGTGGAAACCAATTATATGTCAGGAAAACTTAACGATATTCCATCTGTCAGCAATGTTTCTTCCGTCTGATCTTGATCCCACGGTTCGGATAGAGCGAGTCAGCGAGGTGATTGCTCGGCTGAAAAAAAGAAATCCACGCCAAAAAATATCACGCCGAAAAGAAAATCCACGCAAAAAAAAAACCCTAGGCGCTGTGCCACTTCGTCCGCTTTCCACCGCGCGTCGCCACTTCTCCGCCAAATCCATCGCCGCGGCGCGCGGCCTCCTTCTCCTCCTTCTCCGCCGCGGCGCACCGCCACTTCTCCGCCAAATCCACCACCGTGCGCCGCCACTTCTCCGCCAAATCCACCACCGCATGCCGCCTCCACTACCGCTTCCACCAGATGGGCCGCAAGAGGAAGGCTAGGGTTTCCCGCGACGGCGACGGCAGTGGTGAGGAGGAGCAGGAGCCCGCGCCGGCCGCCGTAGAGAGCAAGAGCCTCTATGAGGTAAATCCCCAACTCCAAACCCTAGGTTCATGGCTTCCAAGGTGTTGCCGGTACGGGTAGTGGTTGATTTTGCGGTGGTGGTGTTGCTTCAGGTTCCGCCCGCTGGGGAATTTGGTGGTTCGCTGCGCGATCAGCGTGTTTGTGTATGAGTAAAATCCACATTTGCCTCTCGGATTACCTCTAATTGAGCAACTACGTGTACCATTTCAATGTGCAAAACAATTGGGGCAAGATTATGCCACTGATTAATCCAAGTACGAAGTGAGTACTTATGCAACAGGGGATAAATGCTTCTGCATTTTGGATACGAAGCATGCAGGCAGTTGCTTGAAGGCTCATATTTCACTTGTGAAGCCTTATGACTGACATGGGAGAGTGCTTATTGGTTTGATCTTAATTTTCAGCTCCGATTTTTGGTTTCGCAGTAGTAGTACATCTCAAAGGATTTTCTAGTGACTTAATCTTATTTTAATCTTGCTGGCCTTCCTTCCACGCCGCCGGCAAGCCCCCGGTGGTGCCGCTGACGCCGGAGGAGGTGGAGACGGCGGGGACCGGGGATGATGACAAGGAGGAGGAGGAGTATGTAAGCGACCCCGACGACGTGCCGCTCCCGGAGATGTGGCACCGGGAGGCCAGCGGTGACCGCTTTCAAGAGGAGAGTCGTGGCCGGCGCAGGTGAGTTCTTGAAAACTTATACCTTATCTGCTGTACCCATAGTTTTGGTAGAATTGCTATTGCTCAACAGTAGGCTGTTGTTGTGGCCTCGAGGAAGCCAGAGCTGCATTATACTGCAGCAAAGTAAGACGGGCATAATCAAAACGTAGTGAATCTGTGAATTGAGTCATCGATGCCAAAGGTAGGCGATGAAGCGCGGGGGATTTATCACATGCAATTCAGGCACTTACCAGAGCATCTGAAATCACTTATTTTGAATATGTTGGGTCGTCGTGCTCGAAACTAAAATCCACATAGTGATCAAGCTGTTAGCTGATAAAATATCAGGAAACATGAACAATTTTGAATGAGGTAATGCCGAATGTTAATCCACAGTAAGGGGCCAGTGAAACTACTTTATCAGGGAGTCCTAGATGATATATTTTCCTACAATGAAATCCAGGGACTTGTGCTAGATACTTGTTTGTTGGGAGCTAATGCAGACACACATTTTCCCAACCTTGGTTCTTGCTGTTAAACAATAGCACTGTTTCTTGTTGACAGTAATTCGGATTTGTGTGTGCTTAAATTTTGATGCTTAAGATGCTATTCTAGATTTGTTGTCTCTTTGTGACAGTAGGTAGATTGTATAGTTAGATTTGGAGATGGATTGTATAATTATTCTGTGTACATGGTGTTTTCAATTAAATGTAAATAGTGCATCCACTACTGGTGAGTATGCGTTTTGTGGGAACTATTGACCATTTGGTGTTGGCCATTAGGATTCTTCCATGAATCTAATTCTTTTTTTTTTACCCCATGAAAGGCACACTGACAGAATATTTGCCGGCAAAAGTGATTTTTGCTAATAACTGATCTGTCGGCATTCCATTAACTGCCGGTAAAGGGCCATCCGTCGGTAAAAAGTATCAGTCGGCAATTCTTTTGTAGTACTGTCTATCAATCTGTTGGTAAAAAAGTATCTGTCGGAAAAGACTTTTCCCGGCAGCACTTGTCCTGACAGACCTTATCTGTCGGGAAAACCTTTTCTGACAGATAATTTGCTGGCACATGGGTGCTTTGCCGACAGATTCTGAGACAGCGGATTTAGGTCGTGGTGTAGTGCCTGCAGGCGTACGTAACGTAGGTCCAATGCAGTTAAGAATTAATAATCAAGGTATATTTTACGTTTGAAATGGAAACATGCGTGAAATTTACACGTACTGCATGTTGAAGTTTGGGACTTGGGAGGCACAACGGCGCCTTGGGCCCTCCAGTCGACACTGGCCGGAACGTCCACGCGGTAGGAGAAGCTGGCGTCGACGTCTCCGGCACCCGTCGTGAAAACGAAGTCGTCCACGGGGCCATCGCCGATGTAGTACCCGGTGTACGTGGCCAGGAACTCCTCCTCGGTGAGGTCTGCGAACTCGTTCTCGGCGAGCTGGTAAGTGAGGTCGCCGCGCAGGTTGACGGCGTCGATGAACTCCGCGTTGCGGCGGTACACATCGAACCGCTGCAGCGCCTCTTCTGCGCTCGGGTACGACCGGTTGTGAGCTCCCTGCCAAGCGCGGAACCTGTCCATCATCACCATGTCGCCGACGTCCAAGCAGCTGCTCGCCGTCGCACGCGCCGGGAGCATGGAGGTGGCGAGAAAGGCACCGCACGACGCGAGCAGGGCCAGCGCGAGTACCGGTGGCGAGGCGCATGCCATGAATGGTGCCATGGCATGCACCTAACTTGTGGGTAAGTACGCGTTCCACCGTTCAATATTCCACTTCTGGTCGACTATGCATGCTTAGCTCTACTTACTTATATGGTGTGTCGGGGTCCTGGAGGTGTCAACGTCGAAAAGATGCGCTAATGGATGTAATTTGGCTGGCGACAAGTGCACACAAATGACGCCTGCTGGTCGTGCGGCCATTAGTGGAATGGCAACCAACCGTATTTCTCTTGTAATTGTGTTGCACGGCTATACATGCACATGTCACAGCCATGTCACCAACGAGTTTGTTAGGCTGCGTTGCCGTGCACACGACCAATAGCAACGGGGATTAATATTCAGTTTGACTGTGAACGTTGTGTGTTTGGTTCTGCGTATATCAACCTTAAAATTAACATATGTGAAAAAACTTGACTTTTCCTAACCAAAGTTATATGAAGTTGGATAATACTGTTACAGAAAGTGATATTTCTTAGACAAGAGAAAATATGGACATGACAATATTGGCAACAGAAAATATGGAGATGGTAGTATTGGCAGCCATGGCAGAGCGGCCAGTCGGTCCTCCACACTCTGGCAGAGGACGGGCGGCAGCTAGGCATCCAAAGACGGTCACCCATGGCCTGATGGACGCCCAAAAGATGTTCAACCTCAACACCCACCTACGAGAGGAAGCCCACAAACCCACATTGGATTGGCTGGCACTACTAGGAAAAGCATTATCGGAAGCGGCCGAAAAGGGTCTTCGCAGGCGGGGCGACCGTCCGCCTGTAAGCCAACGACTGTGAAGATCTCCGATGGGAATGTGCAATCTGCAGGGTGTATTCTCCTTGAGGTCATCGAAGGGGTAATCTGGCTCAGGTTCTTTGGTTTCAGGGCGAGGCAAAAGCATGTGCTTGACGCAGAAATCCATCATTTGCCTTTCAAACTCCGCAGCCCCTTCGTCTCTAAGTTTATCCTTGTACGCTTCACGCTTCTTGTGGGGGTCATTTTTGAACCCTTCCTTCCAACTCATCTTGCTCGACACACCTCTAACCCGTCCCCCATGCTCAGGAGTACCCAGCGCCGTACTTAGCATATCTTTCTCCCTTTTAGGCCTGAAAGATCCTTTCTTTTGTCAACTGGATAAATTTTCTATTTTATCGGCAACGCTCTACAGCTTCGGATTTTCAAACGATACTTTTCCTTCATCCGTGATCTTCGGAGTTCTAGCTCTTACCCAGTTCCTTGATCTCTGTGTCCACTCCTCCATTGGTACCGGTTGCCCCTTCTTCCTTATTTCGTCCTCCTCTTTTGTCCACTGCTCCACCTTTGGTGTGTATCCCGCGGAGCCTAAGCGATGAGGAAATTTGTTCTTCTTGGCCAACTCTGCATACTTTTGGCTCCTTTGAATTTCTTCCGGGGAGTTCTTCAAGGTCAGAAAGTCGTCCCACTGATTGGGGGTTATGTTAGCATACGTCAAAAATGGTGTGCGTCCCGTCTTCACAAATTTCTTGTTCAAGGTGGTTTTCCAACCACGCCAAGACTTGGCCATTGTTTGCAGTGCATAATTACTCACTGCTGCCTCTGATCCATCCGGGAACTGGAAAATTTTCTTCAACTCTTTCCATAGGACTTCCTTATCCCCATTCGATACATGATCCCAGTCCTTGACCGTGATGGGGATCTTTTCCCTTACTATTATGCCACACTGTGAACTGAATTTCGCACGTGCCGTCTTAGGGGCGAGCGGCTCTCCTTTAGGCGAAACATGGGTAACAACATGGAACCCTTCATCCTTTCTATTCACGCTTCTCTCGCCCTTCCTTTTCTTCGCCTTTGTTGACCGTTCGCTTTTATTTGTGCCGGTTGTGTTAGCTGGTACGTTGTCGTCTTTCGACGGAACTTTTTTCTTCGGCTGCCGTTTTGATCGCCGTGGCGCCGTTTCCTACGAGAAGGTATACATGGAAGTTTCGAATTAGCTCGGGCTAATAGTTATCATGGTGAACATTTTACATATTAAGTTTACTTACCCCTTCTTTAGGGGGAATGTAGTCCTTATCGCATTCTTCACCGTCGCCCTTTTTCCTTCTCTTCGGGCTTGAGCTTGGACAAGGATCGCTTGGCGACGAGTACTCCTCGTCTTCGTCAGCTACGTCGCTGTCGGAACTACCTTCCGGTGGGACCGTTGGTTCCGGAGCAACCACAACAGCAAGGGACTACTCCTGCTCCCCTAAACCCTTCTCTTCAGTCCCTTTAGTACTATCGGTCATCGTTTCAAACCTCTAATATAAAGAAAAGAGTTATCGTCCACATTTTAAATTACTCAATTTAGTACAAACAACTTTGTACAAAAATAAACTGTATATTAACAATATGTCGTATGAACAAATTTAAATTCTCTGAGATTCCCAAATTTAACTATTATAGTAAATTAATTAGTACAAACTAATTTAAATTGCGAAATATTATTAATTAGTACTTACTATTATGCTAAATTAATTAATACAAACAAATTTAAATTGCGAAACTAATGACTACTTACTATTATGCTAAATTAATTAGTACAAACAAATTTGTACAAAATTTGATACGTTATTATCAAGTAGTGCACTAATTGACAGTTATATTTCATCGACTTGTTGATTAAAAAAAATTGAAAAGGCAAACATATCCTCCACATTTTTTTTAAAAAAAATGTTAACATACCCTCCAACATGTTATTTAAAAAATTTGACAAATTCACATATCCTGCAAAATTGAACATACCCTCCCAATTTCATTCACATATCACCCACATTCCCAAATTCACATTCACAATCAACATATAACCCCTTATTCACATATCACCCACCCCTCATGCCCATTCACACCCACATGCACACACATATATACCCCCTCACACCCACATGCACACACATATAAAAAGAAACACCCACATACACACACGTCCGTGTTCGACGAACGGCCAACGACGAGCTTCGGTCGTGGACGACGAAGGAAGGGCCGGCGACGAGGTTCGGCCGTGGACGACGACAGGCTTCGGTCGTGGACAACGAACGGCCGACGACGAGGTTCGGCCGTGGACGACGATCGGCCGAAGACATCGTTCAGCCAAGGACGTCTTTGCTCGTGGACGACGATCGGCCGATGAAGCCGTTCGGCCGCGAGCGAGATAGAGAGAGAGGTGGCGGCCGGCGGCGGTGGAGGGGCGGCCGACGGTGGTGGAGGGGCCGGCGGTGGTGGAGGGGCCAGCGGCGGCCGCGCGCGCGGTGGAGGGGCCGGTGGCGGTGGAGGAGCCGGTGGCGGTGGAGGAGCCGGCAGCGGTGGGGCGGGCACGCGGTGGAGGGGTCGGCGGCGGCGACGGCAGAGTGGTGGAGCTCGCGCGCGGTGGAGCGGCGGCAAGGGGCGGCGGTCTCGGTGACAGCGGTCGGAGAGTGAAGGTCGTAGGCGGGCGGCGGTGGAGGACGGTGGAGGCGTGCGGCGGAGGACGACGGTCGGAGAGTGAAGGTCGTAGGCGGGCGGCGGTGGAGGACGGTGGAGGCGTGCGGCGGCGAAAAAATTCGGCAGCCTGACGACGCCAAAATTTCTAGGGTTCCCGCCTAAACTTAGAAATTTTGGCGCCACGGGCTTGCCCTTATATAGGGCAACGATCATCGCAGGCGGGCGGTCCGCCTGTGAAGATCGTTTTTACTATCTTCGCAATCGGGCCGTCCGACTGCGAAGATGTAAACCCTACTCTATATAATAATTTTCGCAAGCGGACCGCCCGCCTGCGAAAATTGGTATAGAGTTGAATATATTTATTCCAAAATATACAAACCTTAATATTATTACATAATATACAAACCTTAGTATTATTACTTTTCAAATGTATAAATGGTAATTGCACATAAAAATAATTACACTTTTCAAATATTACTAAATTAAATTTTTTAACAAATTTTTTACACTACAAATGGTAATTGCACATAAAAATTAGTACAAACTAATTAATATGCAAAATGTTGAGTACAATTGTTCGTCA